GCGATTTTCGCCCATTGGGGCCATCGCTGTGCGATCGCAGTAGCGATCGCAAAAGCACCACTGTATTTTCCATTAACCTACATTATCCTCTTTGTTATGTTTATCTATCATATCTGCAAAGTGTTGCAGAGTTTTCAGTTTCTGATAAATATTCTTTTTTGCTATATAGCAAAAGTACAGAGTTCCACAGAGGAGAATAGCGGCAAGTTCCCCCAGAGAGTCCACCCCTTTAACTGGCACTTAGAGTCTCAATAGCTCGGTCTGAGACATTTCTGGAGAAAGAATAAAAACATATTTCTTTATTTATAGTTTCTTGAAATTGCAGACTTGTGCATATGGCTTTCTTTATTGCACACATACGTAGAACCAACTAAACAGCAAGCAAACAAATGCCTTGAGGTGATGAAAAGGGGGAGGCACTCAGCAGAGAGATGGGGCTCTCTTTAAATTCAAAGACAGGATGGAATGATTGGTTAGCGGTAGACAGATTGACAGTCACTCCCTCCCAGAAAGGTCCCTTCCAGCCATACCAACTACAGCGCAAGTTCCCAAAATGACCGCCCCATCCCCCGAGGGGTTGCAAAGTGTTTGTTGGGGGGGAGGTCACCAACTCAAACCCCCCAGTTCCCTTCTTCAAGTACTCCACCCTCTCCTTTGCTTGCATACCCTGCTCCCCCCCCAAGCTCTTTTCTCTTCCTGCTGTGGGGCTCATGGGTGGGAGACAAGGCTTGGCCATGGCTGGGTTGAGAGGTGAGGAGGAAGGGGCAAGCTGCTGCTGGTGGGGGGGGGCAGAGAGGGATTTACAATATGAGCACACACAGAAAAATCAGTGGCTAAAGCAGTGGTCAGGGAACAGGGGTAAATAATCCCAAATGGGGTAAAAATGAAAATCCTGGGGGTAATGGGACGTGATCCTATCCCGCTTGCCTCCTCCTCCTCCTCTGCCCGGAGGGGTGGTCCCTAGCTGCCCAATTGCCCCCTTCCCTCCTCCTCCTCCTCTGCCCGGAGGGGTGGTCCCTAGGTGCCCAATTGCCCCCTTCCCACCCCCTCCTCTGGCCTGGCTGCAACCAAGCCACACATGGGTATGATTGATTCATTTGGGCAGCCAAATTGGGTTTTTCCCACTTTGCCAACTAGGTTGTTTTATAATATACCAATCATGTATCACATCAATCCTTACCATTTCAATGTATGTGAATGTTGTTGTTGGTTTATTTACTTTGCAAAGTTTTTAGGCTCATGGCCACTGTATTTGTATCCTTAAAAAATTTAAAGGGATATTTTAAAAAATCACTTATAACAGCAAGAGCAGAAGCCACGAAAACAACACATATACCATGCTCAGAAGCCAACAGACTCTCCCCCTCCTCCCACAAATGTAAGAAAATGAAGGAGAAAGAGGCTTGGGCAGAAAAAGGGCCATTTCTTGCTTTGAACTATTGGAGGGGAGAAAGAAAGGGGTCATCACATGAATGTCGGTCCTTTTCTTAACCCTGATCTTCACAGACTTTGCAGGTTTTAAAAAACCCACTTCCTCCTCCTGACACTGTTCAAAAGGGAAAAGAAAAATGAAAGCCAAAGACTGAGAGGGAGACAGAAGCAGGGAAATAAAGAAAAGGCGACACGGGGGTAAAGGAGGGAAGGGAAAAGGGAAGAAGGAGAGAAGGAAAAGGGCGGGAGAAAAACAGAAAGGAATCAGGAAGTGAAAATTTAAAAGGGAAGGACAGATGACATATACACCAGGTTGTGCACCAAGTAACAGTTGGAAGTGACAGGAAAATAGTGATATATCACTTACAATTTTTTAAAAGAAAATTTTAGTGCAGTGGGTGTGAGTGGGTTCAAATTTGGGAAAACCCCATTCCCCCTTTTCTTTCCCAAAAAGTGAAGATAGTCCCTTTTTTGCAAATATTTATTTTCAAACAGTGGAGTATTATGAACCAGTCGGAGCAACGGGTCCCTCAGTTTCTTTACATTTAACATAACTGTCCCTTAACTCAGGCGGCACAAAAGAGTACACCATGGGGGTTTCACTCCAAACCATTTGCGATCTGTGGGCTTTCTCGTGGGTCTCCTCAGACTGGGGCATGTGGTGCCGAACCCACTTTCCCTCCGTGGGCATTTCTGGATGCGACATCACCACTGGTTTGGCCCCCTTCTTCCACCGATCTTCCTTCTTGGGATAGATATACACCATCCATTCCACTGGTTCTGCTTCCCTCAGCTGTACCTCAAATCCTTTGCCTTTTCTCCTCCTCCTTCGCCCCCTCAGTCTCCCAGTCTAGCTCCTTTTCACCTTCTAAATTCTCCTCAGCCCCTGTCGCCAGATATCCTTCTACTATCGGCTCCTCCCGTTTCTCACCCTCCACTCCTTTCCCGCTCTCTTTCTCTTCTACTCTCAGTTGGGCCACTGCTGGTATCAGCGTAGATGGCTGTCTCGTATCCCTTTGTTGTGGGCGCTGGAAGGGACGGCTCACACTCCTCTTTTCTGTTGGGAAGTGGTTCCTTCTCACAGTGGGGACCCCCAGAAACAGGATGGCAACTGAACCGATTTATATAAGATGGCACATGCAGCCTCCAGATAGTACAAATAGCAAGAAATGTACTGATTGAACTGAAAGCCATGTGAATGGCATATACACCAGGTAACTGCAGGTAAAAATACAGTGGTGCCTCACATTTCGCTTTGTGAAAACTTCGTTAAACGGAAAGTAAAAAAGCCATACGGAAAGTAAAAAGTTCCAAATTGGCTGAAAACTCACCGTTTAGCAAAGTCTTCCCATAGCCGGCAGCCATTTTCGTGCCCTCGGTAAGCGAGGGGAGGGCGCGAAAACACTGCACGTGGCCATTTCGGCTGTTCCGGCGGCCATTTTGGACCCGCCGAACAGCTGATCCGTGGGTCGCAAAGTGAAGGTCAACAAGCGAAACGCTTACCGACCTTCGCTATGCAAGTTTTGCCCATTGGGGCCATCGGTAAGCGATCGCATTAGTGATCGCGGAAACCGCATTGCTATGCGATTTCGTCGTTATACGGTGCGCTCATTAAGCGAGGCACCACTGTATATCAATTTCTAAAAGGGATGAGAATGAAATGATTCTTTCGGCATGCGTGATTGAGCCCTAAGGTACAGTGGATGCTCGAGTTATAGACGGCTCCACTTACAGACTTTTCGAGTTACAGACTTCTCTGGCCGCGAATTTTAGGTTCGACTTGCAGCCGGAGAATCAACCTACAGACCGGGGGGAAAAAAACAGAACAAAAACAGCCAGTTACGGATTAATCGGTTTTCAATGCATTGTAGGTCAATGGAGCCTCGACCTGCAGCCACCGTTCCAGTACGGATTAATTCCATAAGGAGAGGGTCCACTTTAACTGGTAGTATTGCAAAACAGGATAGCAAGCTGGGAAATGGGAAAATAAAGTTGACGGCGGAAACAGCCAGCACAAAGCTCACCTAATCTCAAGAGGAAATAAAATCTTGCTCCCTATTTTGTATTCTCCAAAATACAAACCAGCAAAAAGGCAGGGAAACCTGCGTAGGCCTGCAAAAATTCGAAAAACAAAGGTGGGTGATGCCTTTATTGGGCCATCAAAAGCATGCACGTTTTCAAGTCCCTCCATGTCTCAACAATGAAAGGTCCTGCTGAACTCAAACCGTCTCTAGTTTTTAATACTTTAAAAGGTCTTATCCACCCATGCTTTCAGTTTGACAAAATGTTTGAAGATTTTTTTATATACATCCTCTCATTACCCGGCACTGAGCAGATCATTCATACAACATTTTACTGTACGGGAGAAAGATTTGGGATCGGTATGTTTTCCAGTCTGTACCTACCTGTCTCCGCCAAAGCTCCTGCGAGGGAAGCAAGTATAAGGAAGAGGTTTCCTAACATCGTCTCCATTTCGTTATCTGTCAAAAGGAGGCAGCTACGGAGCAGAGTGTGCTGTAAAACCTCCTCTCCTCTCCTCTTTGCCTCCTAAAATGTAGTTTCAGAGGCTAGATGAGCTAAAGCAAAGTTAATAAGTAAACAAAATGCAACAAAGAAAGATGTCCACAGAAAGGCACACAAAGTCCAGGAAGGGGTTGGGAAATGTCTGGCTCGAGAAGCTTCAAAAAAAAAATGTGAGTAAGTAATGATGTCCCACCAAGGATTCTGTGCACCGGGGTCTGTAGGAAGAACCAAGTTAAAGCTATTGTGGGTCCCAACTCAAAGTGAGCCCACAGAAATCAATGGCATCAATCAATTTGCTCCAAAAATGCATTAGGGCATGTTTTCAGGGGATGTTTTATTTTTTTATGTACAACAATCTACATTTAATCAAATGCAGTCCTGTCCTCTTCTTCTGGTTGCTGCACAAGAGTGGAGGGCAGAGTTTCACTTAACTAGGACTTATTTTGGGGGTAGGACTTATATTACGAGCATCCTGAAAAATCCTACTAGGGCTTATTTTCAGGTTAGGACTTATTTTGGGGGAAACGGTATCTGTCTGTCTGTCTGTCTGTCTGTCTGTCTGTCTGTCTGTCTGTCTGTCTGTCTATCTATCTATCTAGCTATCTAGCTATCTAGCTAGCTATCTATCTATCTATCTATCTATCTATCTATCTATCTATCTATCTATCTATCTATCTATCTATCTATCTATCTATCTATCTATCTATCTATTTGGAAGTAGTTTCTGTCGAAAGAGGCACTCTCTCTTTGTGTAGACACTTGTTGGAAATCAGGATTAATCTATACCTTTTCCCACAAGTAAGCGGAGCCCACCCATTTAGCAGCTCAAAAAGGAACTAAGTAAGAGCCCCAGATAACCCATCACTTTGAAATGTAAATACAACATGCTGCTGGTTTTCACACCACTTCTTGGTCGAAGTAATTTCCACCAGGCGTCAGTTCACACTTCACCACACTTCAAGGGGTTTCCTTTGAAGATGCTGTGTTTCGGAGTTCTCAAAGAGGGCTCCCCCCCCCCAGGATCAAAAAAGGGAAGGCCTTTTGCACAAAAGAGTCAGGAGTCAAGAAGGAAGAGGGAAGGAGGAGATCAGGACGAAGGGAGCTATTGTCTAGCACGAATGCCATTCCTGACACGGAACCAAGTCTGATCCTGATCCCACGTAAGCTTAGTGCCGTCATGAGAAATCATGGCAGAGAATATAGTATAAAAAAATAAAATAATCCAGCATCTTAGCCTGTTGCATTTGCCTGTTTGCTTGTTATACACCTTTATCCTTTGTAGTCTGAATGCAACCTAAAAACTTAAACGATCTTTGCCTTTTTATTTTACCTTTTAAGAAAGCTACTTTTTAGAATACACACTTTGCCTGGGGACTATTCTTGCAGAGCATTCCAGCTAAAAGTAATGCAACAGCCAGCCGCTCCCCATTCAAGCTATTTCTCTAGAGCATGTTCAGAGAGCAAAAGGAATTTTATGCAAATTAATAAGAAGGTTTAAAGAGAGGAATGGTGGCAACAATGAGCAGCATCAGCACAAAGGGACGGAGGGGCAGCCAGCCAGGGTTTCCCCCCTACCTGGCAGAAAAGGAGTGCCCCCCCAAAAAAGCCCCTGACTGTTCCATGACAGCCATTCTGAAAGACCATGGGCACTCCACAAGCAGATCTCCTTATTGCTGTTTTGTTTCACAGCTACAGCACCAGAAACCTGCCCTATTACACGCATGCCTCTGGGTGATTCCTGTTCTTTTTGCCAAGTTAACACAATACAGTGGTGCCTCGCAAAGCGCCATTAATCGGTGCAGGAAAAATCACTGCAAAGCGATTTCATCCCTATGTGATTTTGAAAAGCCCATAGGAATGCATTGAAACCCCTTCAATGCGTTCCTATGGGCTTAAAACTCACCTTAATGCGAAAATCCTCCATACGGCCGCCATTTTCACTGCCCGGTAAGCGAGGAATCAGCGCGAAAACACAGCGGGCGGCCATTTTTTTACCCGGCGGCCATTTTGCAACCGTCGATCAGCTGTTAAAAAATCGTCGCTATGCGATGATCGGTAAGCGAAACAGATCATCACAAAGATCGCTATGCGATGATCGGTAAGTGAAGCAGATCATCACAAAGAGATTTTCCCCCATTTAAAACATTGCAATGCGATCGCAAAAGTGATCACAAAAAGTTCATCAATATGCAATTTTGTCGTTAAACGGGGCGCCCGTTAAGCGAGGCACCACTGTACTTGGACCTCCAGGGGAGCTTCAAAGCAGATTTCCCGGAAAAAGCAAGCTGAACATTGGCCTGTGCGGGACATAAGCCCATTGGGTTTTGTCCTGCTGGACTGATGGGTGATCTTGGACAGCCATTTTTTGAGCCCTCTCCTGATCAAACAATCTTTGCCAGCCGAGTCCCCCAGCACGGCGTCCAGCGAGGAGAGGAGGTTGTCCAGCCCTGGCTGATCCTGGCACTTAGCTCCTTCCCCCCCAACCGGCTGTAGCTGGCTCACCTGGTCCTACTCCAAGGTAAATTTAGAGGAAAGGGGATGAGCAAATATGCCTGGGAAAGTCCCCAGAGGGTGACCTGACAGGAAATAGTGTCACTTTTGAGATAAATTCAGAGAAGCTTTACTGAAAAGGCGATTAATTGCTAAAGCCCCTCTTTAATTTGGGCTTAGCCTGTTTGACTACTGTAAAAGGGAGTTAATGCACAATGCATGTATAAGAGTGGATTAATTTGACTGACGATTGTGTTTTTGGAGTGGCAGAGAGATTTTTTTTGCTCCTCTGACGGAGGCCTGTTTATTTTAACACAAATGTACAACTGATTCATTGAAATTGAATTCCCCTACGTGAAAACCTCTGTCCACGTTAATGGTTAAGTCGCCCTCCTTCTGGCTGACTCTCACAGCCACTGACCCTGCTGTTGTGTTAAAAGCAAGAAGTGGGGGCTACTAAGGAGCCCCCTGCTGCTTGGTCACTTCCCCAAAACTTCATCCAGTCGGAGGAGGGACAGGTAGGTGTCTGTTTACTGAGTTGGCATATGAACCCTAGAACTGGACCCTGACAGGCAGGCAAAATTCAGCCATACTGTAGCTGCTTCTAGGCAACCAGTGTCATCACCTCCTTCTACCTGGTTGTGTACAGTGGTGCCTCGCATTGCGACGTTAATTCGTTCCAGCGAAATCACTGTAGAACGAAAACATCGTAATACGAAATAAAAAAGCCCATAGAAACACATTAAAACACGATTAATGCGTTCCTAGGGGCTTCAAACTCACCGTTCAGCGAAGATCCTCCATAGCGCGGCCATTTTCGCTGCCTGTTAAGCGAGGCATCCGTCCCAGAAAACAGCAGGAGGCCATATTTTTTCCGTTCCAGCGAAATCACTGTAGAACGAAAACATCGTAATACGAAATAAAAAAGCCCATAGAAACACATTAAAACACGATTAATGCGTTCCTAGGGGCTTCAAACTCATCGTTCAGCGAAGATCCTCCATAGCGCGGCCATTTTCGCTGCCTGTTAAGCGAGGCATCCGTCCCAGAAAACAGCAGGAGGCCATGTTTTTTTCCCCGGTAGCCATTTTGAAACTGCCGATCAGCTGTGCGAAAATGGTCGCTTTGCAATGATCGGTCATCGCAAAGTGAAAATACCCCATAGGGAACCTTGTAAAGCATCGCAAAGCGAAAATACCCCACAGGGAACCTCGTAAAGTGATCACAAAAAGTTAGTCGCAAAGTGATTTCGTCGCTAAACAGCGCTCGCTAAGTGAGGCACCACTGTATCTGTGTTTTGTTCATTGTAGGTTTTTCGGGCTGTTTGGCCGTGTTCTGAAGGTTTTTCTGCCTAACATTTTGCCAGTCTCTGTGGCATCTTCAGAGGACTGGAGTTAGAACTGTGTCTGTGTTCTGGTGTAGTGTGTGGGATACACAGAGACTGGTGAAATGTTAGGAAGAAAAACCTTCGGAACATGGCCAAACAACCTGTATAACCTACAACAACCATTGGATCCTGGCTGTGAATACTTAAAGGCTTTGTGAACATATCAGCTAGGTTCTTTTCAGTTTCACAATACTGTATCTTAATTCAGTTACTCCTGTTTGTATTACATTTTCACATTTGGGTATTTTACATCCACACACTTAGTCCTGGCTTTTAAACTTTCTGAACTAGCCATTGCAATACAGGACTGTGAATCTTCAAAAATAGTACAGTGGTGCCTCGCTTAACGATTGCCTTGTTAAATGACAAAACCGCTATACGATGACTGTTTTGCGATCGCTTTTGCGATCACAAAACGATGTTTTAACAGGCAAAATCTGCTTTGCGATGATCAGTTCCCTGCTTCGGGAACCGATTCTTCACATTACGACAATTTTGTAACAGCTGATCGGCAGCTTCAAAATGGCCGCCCACTGTGTAAAATGGCTCCCCGCTGTGTCTTTGGATGGATTCCTCGCTATACAGGCACCGAAAATGGCCACCCCTATGGAGGATGTTTGCTGGACGGTGAGTTTTTCAGCCCATTGGAACACATTGAACGGATTTTCAATGCGTTTCAATGGGATTTTTTATTTCGCTTAATGAGGATTTCGCTGTACGGCGATTTTGCTGGAACGGATTATCCTCGTTAAGCGAGGCACCACTGTAATTGGCTTTTCACATTTCACCTGTACATCTTTGAGTAATTGCTTGAACCGTATTACCTCATTACATGCTTCA